TTAGATTTTTTTTTTTTTTTTTTTTTTTTTTTTTGGTACTGGGAATCAAACTCAGGACCTTGTGCTTGCCAGGCAGGCGCTTGTGCCGCTGAGCTATATCTCTGGCCCTAACCTTTTAAATTTGTTTTTAATTTTGAAATAGGGCCTTGCCAAGTCACCCAGTTTGGGCTTGAACTTGGGATCCTCCTTCCTCAGCCTCCCAGCATGCTGGGATTATAGGCATGCACCATTACACCTATCTTCATTATAACTTTTTTTTTTTTTTTTTTTTTACATGTATGTGTGTGGTTTTGTTGGGGTTTTTCTTTTTTTGGAGACAGGGTTTCACTATGTAGCTCAAGCTAGCCTTGGACTATGTACCCCAGGCTGACCTCGAACACATGGTGATCCTTCTGCCTCAGCCTCTCAAGTGCTGGGATTACAGGCATGTGCCACCACTCCCAGCTCATTATAACCATTTTTAAGTGTATATATCTTTAGTTAACTACATTCCCATTGTTATGGAACCAATCTCCAGGATGCTATACCCACTAATAGTGACTCATTTTCCCAATAACCCTAGTCCCTGGGAGCCACCCTTCTTTCTATGAATTTGACTGTTCTAGGTACCTCATGTAAGTGGAATCATGCAATATTTGTCTCTTTTTGACAAGCTTACTTCAGTCTCAATGTTCATGTTATAGCATGCGTCAGAATTTCCTCCTTTTTAAGGCTGAATAATACTCCATTGTATGTATATAACACATTATTATATAGTCATTTATAAGTTCATGAATAGTTGGGTTGCTTCTTTGTTTTGGTTATTATAAATTTCACAATAAAATACTACCTTACATTATTATGATTTGGGGAGCTCATGTGTGTGTGTTTGTGTGTGTGTGTATCTATGTATGTGTGCATGTGTTACTAGGGGATGAACCCAGGGGCTTCACATTGAGCTATATCCACAGCCTTTTTTTTTTTTTGGTAGTGTCTTGCTAAATTGCCCAGATTCAGCTCAAATTTGTAATCCTGCCTCAGCCTCCCAGAGTTCTGGGATTACAAGCATGTACCATCATGTGCAGCCTTGGGCATTTTTTTCACGTGCTTGTTAACCATTTATATATCTCTCTGGAAAAACTTTTAGGTTGACCTCAAACTTGTAGCAATTCTCCTGCCTCAGCCCCCTAAGTGCTGGGATTATAGGTGTGCACTGCCAAACCTAGTTTGTTTTTGTTTTAAAGAAAACTTCTTGCTATGTTGCCCGGTTGGCTTCAAACCTCTCGGATCCTCCTGCTTCAGCCTTCCAAGTAGCTGGAATTATAGTTGTGCACGACTATGCCTAACCTCTGAAGAAATTTCTAGCCAATGTCTTCATTGATTTTTTTTTTTTTAAATTGGCTTTGTGTTTCCAAAATGCATCTTAAATGACTCTTCTATCTCCACATTTGCAATCCAGGCCCTGTTTCATCTTTTGTTTGTTTGTTTGTTTTTCTTCTGGTACTGGGAATCAAACTCATGACCTTGCGCTTGCCAGGCAGGCGCTGTGCTACTGAGCTAAATCCCCAGCCCGCCCTGTTTAGTCTTCATGTGAAAAATCGAAATACCTCTTAGACTCCCTGATTTTACTCTTGTCCCTTTCCTTTTTACTCACCATAATGTAGCAAGAATTATTTTCTAAACATATGAACTTTAACATGTCTCTTACTTGATCAAAATTTAACAGCATTCCATTACTCTGGAGAAAAAAAAAATAGCTCTTCTGGGTGGTACACACCTGTGATCCCATCACTTTGGGAGGCTTAAGCAGAGGATCACAAATTTGAGCCCAGCCTGAACAGCACAGCAATTTAGTGAGACCACCTCAAAAGATGGTCTAGGGATGTAGCTCAATGTGGAGGCCTTAGGTTCAATCCCAGGGGGTGAGGGAAGATACATAAATCATAGTCTGACATGATCTGACCCTTGCCAACTTTACTATCTTTCTAAAAACACTCTGATTACTATTTTCAGACCCAATGGCTATCTTTTAGTTTCCAAAGGACCAACATTTTCCCTTCTTACCCTCTTCATATGTTATTCTTTTTACCAGAAACATTTTTTGTCTGCTCTGCTTGGTTAATGCCCATTCATTATCTGGATGATAATTTAAATTTCACTTCTCTGTAGAAGCCCTTAAGAACCTCTTTTCCAGGCCAGGCATTTTTGGCATAAGCCTATAATCCCAGCACTGGGAGGATGAAGCAGGAGGATCACCAGGAGTTCAAGGCCATCCTGGGCTACATAATGAGTTTACGGCCAGCCTGCACTACAGTGAGACCCTATCTCAAAAAAACAAACAACAACAAAAAAATAGGAACCTCTTTCCCTGATCTAACTAAAATTTCCACTATAGGATCTTATCATAATACATCTCTCTAAAAGCATCTATCAAAGTTTGTAAAGATGTATTTATTTTTGCATTGTTTATTATAGATCCGCTGGTAGATTATAAACTTTATGAAGGCAGAGACAAAACTATTTATCTAACACTAAATTCCCAGGGGCTGGGGAGTTAGCTCAGCGGCAAAGCACCTGCCTGGCAAGTGCAAGGTCGTGAGTTCAATTCCTGGTACCAGAAGAAATAAACAAAACAAAACACTAAGTTCCCAGACCAAACAACATCTACCTCATAGAAAGTATTCATTATTTGTTAATTGAAAGAACAAACAAAACATGTAGAGGCTATTTCAAAACATTAAGGCCTGGCATGGTGGTGCACGCCTGTAATCCCAGCACTCCGGAGGCTGAGGCAGGAGGATTGCAGCGAGCTCAAGGCCAGCCTGAACTGCATAGCGAAACCCTGTCTCAAAAAGACAATAAATAGCCGGGCATGGTGGCACATACTCAGGAGAATGAGGCAGGAGGATTGTTGCAAGTTCGAGAGCAGCATGGGCTACAAAGTGAGCTCAAGGCCAGCCTGAATGAACTACATAGCGAGACCCTGTCTCAAAAAGACCAAAAAAAAGAGACAATAAATAAATAAAACATTAATATATACAATTCATACTAATAAATTTGAAGTTATTTTACAAAAAATATAAATTATGGAAATTGAGAAATCAGCAAGTCCATAGCAACCAATAACTAAAGTCACTGAAAAAGTTTCCAGAAATACATGTACAATAAGTCCTCAACTTCTGAACATATTTGAGTTGCAGACTTTCACAGATATGAACAGACCTCACATCAGGAACGTTCATAAATGCAAACAAATCAAGGAAGTAGCTCCCATGTCGGCTGGGCATTGGCACAGTTGTGCTGCTGTGTGCTTACTGTACAGTGTGATACTGTACTGTAGTACAGAGCTCAATCACGATGTCCGGAAAGGGGAAAAGCAGTGGTGATGTGGAGGCAACTGCTAGGAAGTGCAAAGCAATAACCATGAAAGCAAAACTGAAAATACAGTGTAAGACTTGCTTTGTCCGGTTTAGGAATGAATCTGACTTAGAGGAATGTTCTCACAGAATGGAACTCTGGGACTTACTGTATTACAAATTATTTGCAGATAGCATAATTATTTCCTTTAAAAGGCTGAGGATGGCTTGGCATGGTAGCTCACACCTGTAATCCCAGTACTCAGGAAGCTGAGGCAGGATGGTCACTGCTGAATTTTGAGGCCAGCCTGGGCCACATTGTGAGCTCAAGGCCAGCATGAACTATATAGTGAGACTCTGTCTCAAAAATAAAATAAAAAAAAAATGAAATAAAATAAAAGGCTGAGGAGGGCTAGTGTTGTAGCTCAGCAGTAGAGCACTTGCCTACCATGTGTATAGCCCTGGCTTAATCCCCAACACCACAAAATAATAAAAAGATTTTTTAAAAGAGTGAGGACAATCTACACTCCCACCAGCAGTGCAGAAGGGTTCCTTTTTCCCCACAGCCTGTCCAACATTTGTTACTCGTTGATTTCTTTTTTTTTTTTTTT